CCAACATTCGACAACTCCAAAACTTGCCAAATATTAGTAAGTTTCTACAAATTGGCAAAATATATTGGTACAACAAACTGGTAGTCTATCTTTTGTTTTGCCTAAACCTTGGCAATCCAACCTTTGGGCACAAAACCAAGCATGGTTTTCTTGATGTGATAGCCAAGCACAAACGACATTTTCTGTAATATGGATCTACCTTGCGCTCGGGGAGAAGCATAAGAAAGAAAGCCATGCTAAACACATCCATACCCATTTGAAACATACAATATTATTGTTGAGTTCCTTGTGGAGATTTTGCACATAAAATTTTCTTTTGTTCAAAATTTTACATATTTAGCCTCGTGTTGTTGTGGTAGTACTAAATGATGGAAAATAAGAGTGGAGGTGATGTCTTTCCACAACTAACCAAATGCAACCTATAGAATCTATGTCCTGTATAGTGCATCGTCAAGAAGAAAACAAGAGAAACTTCCTGGAGGTTTTGATGGAGGAACATCATCAACGAAAGGAATTGAACCATATGTACTAGAAAATACAGGTGATGATGGGTCTTCATGGCGACCAGGCAGGAAATTTCAATCTAGCGATACAAACAACACATAGATGTAATTATGGATTTTGTGCAAATCATGCAGTGGTGGTTGTGATTCCTAGCTCACTTCTTGTTGTGTGGATCTTTTGCTTGTAAGATCCATATCTCGGCCGAGGAGTGTACGACATGTAGTGACATCGATATGACATGCTAACACTACAATGGAGACACAATGGTGAGGTCTAGGCAACATTAGGAGTGGTGGGCGGAATCAAAGCTATTTAAAATTAGCCCAAAAAACTATGGAGGAACTCTCTCGTCTAGCATCCACAAGATTAGCTTCAGGCACACGTGTGTGTGTAAGCAAGTACATATTATGCGCCGGTTGGCAATGACAAAGGTGCACACCAACTACGATCCTTTGAAAAGAGCGGTTATGTGTATTTCATTTTCACATTTTTTTTCACAACCATGTGGTGAAGCTATTGGTGGGATAATGAATCTGATGACATCTAAACATCATATCCTATATAAATGACACATTCTACACCTGAGCAAACAATGAGAATCTAAACTACCTTGGAGTTCATGACAATTTCATCTTTAATAAACGATCCGACTTTATCAGTCAAATAATCAAAGTATCAGATAAAAAAACACAAACTCCATGTTCATACAAGTTAAGTTGAAGATCGTTGAGCTTGTCGTCTCTAACTGCACTTTTTGCATCTTGACGTTCCACCAAAACTGTGTGAATAAAATCGCAAAATACCAAACATGCACAAGTTGGATAACCTCAAATGCTTTGAAGAGCCTCCTAAGTGTCGCACCCCAGTTGGTCAGAACTTTTGTTTGTGAACATGTTGTGACCAGGGACATACCCCTTGCAAGGAAGATTGCCAAACCACTGATTTAATGTTGTAACCTCAAGGATGAAGTTTCCCGTCATAAAAGAATGAAGCATGAGACACTGATGGCCAAATGAAACTTGACACCCCTAGATCAAGAGTCGGTGACTTGCGGGGCCGACTGAGTACGCACACTTGAGGTACTCCCTCCTTCCATCTATATAGGGCCTAATGCGTTTTTCGAGCCTAACTTTGACCAAGTGTTAGAGCAATAATATATGACATGCAAGTTACACAAACCATACCATTAAATTCTTACGTGAAAGACGCTTCCAATGATATAATTTTCACACTATACATCTCATGTATTATTAATCTTATCAATAGTCAAAGGCGGTCTTGAAAAACGCATTTGGCCCTATATAGATGGAAGGAGGGAGTAACTACATTTGGCCCTATATAGATGGAAGGATGGAAGGAGGGAGTAACTACATGTGTTGTTTATCAATAGTCAAAGGTTATTGTGGTCATTGTTTCATTTGGTTTTATCCCCGTTGGCTTGGATTTTAATTATGTTTTGATGGTGTGTGTTCTTCGTTCATATATCATGCTGGTGTGCCACTAGAGACGATATTTGTTCTGAGATGAGAGTGGAGTTGTTTGATGCGTGGTTGTGACGTCCTTACTCATTTCAGCCTCGGTGTCAGCCGGTGGTCGTAGTGTGAGCCCGTTGGGAGCTCCTATTACACGTTGACACCATGAAATTGCTGCTATAACGTTCACATGGATCGGCCCACGAAGCTTCCGCTTGCTCAGCTTGGCTGCCCTGCTCCACTCGCTCGTCTAGCATTTTTTCCTCGTTCAATATGCTCCTATCTTACAAAAAGACAACCATCATTCTGTTTGAAAAAGTCCGTTAAATCAAAAGATGTTCATCGACTTTTTAAACAAAACTTGGATTACTAAACTAAGTCCCCTCCTGATGGCTACTCTTCTGATCGAGGAGCTCATTCATCTTGCTCTAACAACACATCTTATTTAGCAGGACATATGTGCTCTTACACGAGGTCTTCTTTCCTTTATCACTTAGGAGCCGTGCCAGATGAAAGTCGCATGCACGATTTTGCGTGAGAAAAGGAAGCGAATAGTCCTCCTTTTGACTCTGTTGCAAATAAAAAAATAATCAAAAAATTGCTAGCAATTTAAAAACATTCACAAATTTGAAATAAACTTCAAATTTTTTTTAAATGTTCACAAACTTTAAAACTATCGGTGAACTTTACATATATGCATGAATTTAACAAATATTAGAAAATTTTAAAAAATTGACTCGCGTATTTCAAATGTTCATGAATTAAAATGCAAAAGGAAAAAAATAAAAAGAAAAGGGAAGAAAAACGTAAAAAGAAAATATAAACCCTCAACCAACGGCACACACCCGTAGTGCGTGCAGAGGAAAACCTGCGCATCTTTATGTGTTCAAAAAACAAATCCTGCGCGTCTTTAACGCTCTACGGCGACACGACTGCATCGTGCGTACACGAAAGCTTCGCTGAAAGAACTTCTTCGGTGAATGTGTCAGCGTGTATCAATGCTACCATCTTCTCCCGGCCGTGATACGTACGTACGTACTAGATTTGTTCAACTCCGTAGGCGATCTTTACAATTCGTGCATGTACGTATACTGAAAAGGGTAAACTAACAATTAATACGTGCACGAGCTCATTACAGTGAATTCGCCATTGGATGCCACGCATCTTTTGAAGGAACGAGGTCGATCTCGCCCGGCCGACCAAATCTCGTGCATGGTACGTGTCTAATCAGGCGAGATAGAGAATGTTTGCCTTTGCATGCTCTGCCACTCGATCACATCACATGCTCACTCCCGTAAAACGTCCCAAGCCATATAAATATAAGAGTTTTACTTTTTGCAAATATGGAGAAGAACCCCTTTTTCAACACGCTCAATTTTCTTCGGGTTCTTTACAGGCTACTAAGCATATATGGTGTTAGGAAATTAGGCAGCTTTATTTAAGCTTAATCAAGATTAGCATCGATTATAGACATTGCAAATCGGGTACGGCAAACTAGAGACTAGGGACATTTAGCATATATGTATAAGGACCAAATGCACATGTCAACAGATAGAGGTTCAGTACATACTACAAGTTTACGAAAAACTCCGGTGCAACACGTCTTCAGCAATGGTGGTGAAGTCGAGTTGGTCGTCCGTCGTTCAAAAGTAGTCAAAGCAGGTGGACAGATGTCGAGGATGCAGTCGTAATTAAGCGAGCAGGTGCGCCAAGACGCTCCCAGAAATCTTATCATGCCTCAGCCGGTACAGGTTCTCAAGGGATGCAGTTTCCGTGGTCTGCTCTTCCGGACGGATGTGCACACAATTGTCGGGATGGGTCACCATAGAGGAACTATCCAAGTGGGCTTACAAATTTAATCATGATCAAATGCTTTGTGGATTGTCTCAAGTCAAATTGTGTGTTTTTTGTGTTCTGCATAGGCTCTCTCGTATATATGTATTTCGTTTACATTGAGAGCACGTGTGAGGCAAACTAAGCATAGTTTAGATGATTAGATTTTATTGGTGATTCTTCTACTTGGCTAGCCATGCAACTAGATTTCAAAATTTTAACTCGGTGAGATACAGATTTAGTGGGCCAAGGTCCATAAGGTATAACATATGAGTAGTTCATTTTCTATAATCCAATGGCAATATTACCATTACATATTGGGAGGTAAGATGATGTCTATGATGTTGTAGGAGTAATATGGACATTTATAATTTTAAAATAAGAAAACAAATCATATTGCTAGTACAACAAAACAACGGCAAATAAGAAAAGATATAATGCTGCCAATTAATGCTATCTATATCTTCCATTTTGGTTGTGTATAATATAATTTTCAGTATTGGCACATACAATATATGCTAGTATAACAAAGATTCATGTGGTAAATGATTTCCAAATAAAGCTTATTGTCGCACAATACTTATGAATCTTTTTCATAGAAACACTTAGTAATGTAGACCAAAACATGACATTAATATATAAAATACCACATATGAATCTTTTTCATACTACTATAGTGATATCACATATGAATATTAAATACAAAATATATAAACATTGAATATTTATCATTAAAAATATCACCTTTAGATGTCTCTATGAGGCACATAATTTCCATCTTCTTCTTCTTCTTTTTTTAAAAAGAAGAGGGCGAGGCCTGCACGGTTGCACAACTCTATGGTGCAAGGTACAACTATAGTTGTTTTCAAAATAAAAATAAAACAGTGAGTACAAACTGGTTTTGGTGACCCGCGAAAAAAGAAAAGGTTTTGGTCAACCACTCCCATATCGCCAAGACATCAGCCGACGTCGGCACACGCACTGTGCATCGGTTGCCTCGTATACCCTCTTCCCGGGCCCAGAGCCGCCTTCGTTCCAGACCCGGTAACCCATAAACGACCCGCTTATATACGAACCGTTCGTTGACACGGCGACGACGAAGTTAAACAACTCCCTCCCTCCTCCCCCGCCCCCGCAGACAGACCACCGACGGCAACCACCTCCGGCGTTAATGCTCCACCGACGCCTCTAATGGCCGCCGCCGTCGCCGCAGTGATCTCGCCGGATCTCTTCTCGTTCCACGCGTCCATCGCGCCCTTGCCGGCGCCTCCGGCGGGCGCTGAAGACGACGATGGCGACTTCGAGTTCCGCATCCCCGCGGCGGTGGCCGCGCTCTCCGCCGCTGACGAGCTCTTCTCGGATGGGAAGCTCGTGCCTCTCCTCCCACTGCTGAATCCCGCCTCAGCCTGCTCGGCTCCGCCGTGCGTGGAGGAGGAGCCTCCCTCGGAGCCCGTCTCTCCCCGCGCGCCGCGGTGCGCTGGGCGGCGGTGGCGTGATCTCCTCCTCCTCGTGACAAAGAAGCCCAAAGCCGGCGAGGCCAAGGGTCGCGCGGAAGCGTCTCTGGGGCGTCGGGAGGCGCATTCGCGGCCGCTCCTCTCGCGCGACTCCTCCTCCTCCTCCTCGGCCTCCTCGTGCGACTCCGGCAGGAACGCGCGCCGCCCGCCGCCGCCGTCGCGCCCGCCCCTGCGGACGCGCTCCGCGCCGGTGGCGAGCCTCCTCCACCTCATGTCCAAGAAGAACGCCGGCGACTGCAGGAACGGCGCCGCCGCGGCCGCTGCCCCGAAGCAGCGCCAGCAGCAGCAGGCGTGCGCGCACCCGCTCCTGACCCGGGCCTCCTCGTCGTCCTCGGCCTCCTCCTCGGACTCCGGCAGGAACTCCCGCCCGCCGTGGCACCCGCACGGCCCCGCGCGGCCATGGCGCCCCGCGATAGCCGCCGAGAGCCCGCGCGTCAGCGCGTCCGGGCGCGTGGTGTTCCGGGGCCTGGAGCGGTGCTCGAGCACGCCCGCCGCGGCGGGCATCGGCGGCCTGCGGCGGCCGAGGCCGAGGGGCATGGAGCGGTCGTACTCGACCAATGTGCGCGTGGATCCGGTGATCAACGTGTTCGGGTTCGGGCACCTGTTCTTCCCAGCTTCGCCGGCCAAGGAGAAGAAGGCCGACGCCGCGGGCGGCGGCCGGAGGAGCAGGCCGGAGAAGCTGGCGATGATGCTGAGAGATCCGCAGGATTAGGTGGTGGCCATGCTGGAACATAACGCATGAGATTCTTCCTGTCGCGGATTCTTCTCTGTATTTCCCATCTTGTTTTTTCAGTTTTTTGTAATATACACCGCCGCTCCTGTTGTCTAGAACCAGATCTCTCAAATTTCAGAGACCTCATGCGAATCTGAACTGCCATCAGAGTGTCGTGTCGATGTAAAAAAGATTACTCATGAACAGAAGAACACTTTGCTTCAAGCTGAAGATCACTGTGAACTTTTCAAAGAAAAAAGAGAAGAAGATCACTGTGAAATCGGATGAGGATGGGGAGTACTTTTTAAATTTGGAAATCGGGATGTGGCGTCAAATCGCAACAGTTGGAGCAACGGGACATCAAAGTTTTGAAATTTATCTGGCTGTCCCCGACAGTACAATAGAATAGATAGGGTGCAGTGACTGCCCTGCCGCTGGTGGCAGGAAAGGAGAACTGGGTCCGTGATCTGTGCTCTGCTGCCCCCACCCTCACCCTCCCACCTGTGGCGCTACAATTCAAAAGCCTCTTAAATTTGTTGTATGTGTACACTACTTGTAGAGGACACATGTGTGCGACTGACGAGCCTGCATTTGGAGTTTTTAAAAACAATATATATATGGGTGTGTCTAAGGCACATCTAAATATGCTTTAGTTATTGCACATCTAAATAAGTAAATCAAGCATAAAGAAAAAAATGAAAAGAGAAAGAAAATATTCACACGAATCTCAATGTGTGAATTAATGATATGACTTAGATGTGCAATACTTATGGCACATCTAGATGTACTTTAGCAAAACTGTTTTGACTTATATATATATGGATGGATGGCAATATGGCATGGTGCTGATTTGATTTGAAACCATTTTGACGTATTCTACTCGTACTACTACCACACATGGGGATCTCTGGGGACGTGATGGTTTAGGGCTCCGATGCTTCTCATGCTCCTATCCCCGATGGCTGAGCAAGCTCTGTTCCTAGAAGTCTGCGCTTCGCTTAAACCGAATTTCCTTGCACAAGAGTTCAGGTTGTGTCCTTGCACAAGAGTTCAGGTTGTGCCCAATACCATCCTTCAAATCGTCCATCGCACGGTCTAAGAGCCGTTCGGACCTCCAGTAGGCTTGAAATAGCGTCGTCCTGGGGCTGAAAAAACGGCGTGAGGATGATCGGGTTCCCAGCCGCCGTCTCTAGGTCGCCCCCATGCATCGTTTTTAAAAGTTTTAAAAATATAATAGGTCAAAATTCGACCAAACACGACACAAATTCGGCAAAATTTAGGCGTTCCATCGGTTTTTTTACATATTGAAACATAATCTAAAACAAAATAGAAAAGCAACAACTACTACTGTCGCGCCGCCATGCGCCTCGGCAGCCAAGGGCCGCCACTGCGGCGGGGGACCGGGCCCAGGGCCGTCGAGTACTCGAGCGGCAGCTCGTTGCCGCCCTCGAGGTGCTCGAGGACAAAGTGGAGCGTGCGCCCGGGGACGCCCCACCACAAACGGCGGCCATCTGTGTTGTGGCGCCCCCTCACCGGCGTGTTGTTGGTGAAGGCGAGCTGCTCCTCGTAGCGGCGTTGGAAGTACGCCGCCCAGTGCGCATGCTTGCTGGCGGCGTACTCCGGGCGACCCCGCACCTCCTCCGCCAGGGAGGCCCGAACGCGCTCGATCTCGCCGTGGAAGTGGCCGACGTCGATCGACTGTGGGGGGATGGGCACGCCTCCGGCGCTGAGCCTCCACCGCCCCGGACGCGCATGTCAGGCAACGCCGGATAGTTCGCCTCGTGGAGGAGGTGGGCCTTCCACTCGTGCACGTGGCGGCGGCTGAAGCCGTTGGCCACCGCTCCATCTCTGGGGAACCGCTCTCCCATTGGTGGGCATACACGCGATGGCTGTAGATGGGGAGAGATGGAGACGAGATGGGGGCGTCGACGGCGAGAGGGAGGCTGCGGGCGAGTGCGTCCACCGGCGAGGGAGGGGGCGGCTTTTATAGCGGTGGGGGGGGGGGAACGTGTGTACGCGTGGCCGGAGAGGAGGCGCGTCGCCGCACTGCGCCGCCCGTGAGGAATCAACGGAAGGTTGACCGGAGGCAGCCTTGGCATTGATTCCCCGCGGGGAAACTGTTGGGGAACGTAGTATTTCAAAAAAATCCTACGATCACGCAAGATCTATCTAGGAGAAGCATAGCAACGAGCAGGGAGAGTGAGTCCACATACCCTCGTAGATCGAAAGCGAAAGCGTTTAGTAACGCGGTTGGTGTAGTCGAACATCTTCGTGATCCAACCGATCCAAGTACCGAATGCACGACACCTCCGCGGTCTGCACACGTTCAACTCGTGACGTCCCTCGAACTCTTGATCCAGTTGAGATCGAGGGAGAGTTTCGTCAGCACAACGACGTGGTGACGATGATGATGATGTTACCGGCGCAGGGCTTCGCCTAAGCACTACGCCGATATGACCAAGGTGGAAATCTGTGGAGGGGGGCACCACACACGACTAAGGATCAACTTGTGTCTCTGTGGGGTGCCACCCTCCCCCGTATATAAAGGAGGGGAGGAGGAGGGCCGGCCTCAAGGGGCGCACCCAAAGGGGGGATTCCTACTCCTAGTAGGAGTAGGTTTTCCCCTTTCCTAGTCCAAGTAGGAGAAGAAAGAAGGTTAGGGAGAGGGAAAAGGAAAAAGGGGGGCACCACCCCCTCCTAGTCCAATTCGGACCAGCCCATGAGGGGGCGCGTAGCCACCCCTTGAGCCCCTTCTCTCCTTTCCCGTATGGCCCATTAAGGCCCACTACTTCCCCCGGCGAATTCCATTAACTCCCCGGTACTTCGAAAAATACACAAATCACTCGGAACCTTTCTGATGTCTGAATATAGCCTTACAATATATCGATCTTTACATCTCGACCATTTAGAGACTCCTTGTCATGTCTGTGATCTCATCTGGGACTCCGAACAACCTTCGGTACATCAAATCACATAACTCATATTATAAATCGTCATCGAACGTTAAGCGTGCGGACCCTACGGGTTCGAGAACTATGTAGGCATGACCGAGACACATCTTCGGTCAATAACCAATAGCGGAACCTGGATGCTCATATTGGCTCCTACAAATTCTACAAAGATCTTTATCGGTCAAACCGCATAACAACATACGTTGTTCCCTTTGTCATCGGTATGTTACTTGCCCGAGATTCGATCGTCAGTGTCCTCATACCTAGTTCAATCTCGTTACCGGCAAGTCTCTTTACTCGTTCCGTAATGCATCATCCCGTAACCAACTCTTTAGTCACATTGCTTGCAATGCTTATAATGATGAGCATTACCGAGAGGGCCCAGAGATACCTCTCCAACAATCGGAGTGACAAATCCTAATCTCGATCTATGCCAACTCAACAAACACCATGGGAGACACCTGTAGAGCATCTTTATAATCACTCAGTTACGTTGTGATGTTTGATAGCACACTAAGTGTTCCTCCGGTATTCGGGAGTTGCATAATCTCATAGTCATAGGAACATGTATAAGTCATGAAGAAAGCAATAGCAACAAACTAAACGATCATAGTGCTAAGCTAACGGATGGGTCTTGTCCATCACATCATTCTCTAATGATGTGATCCTGTTCATCAAATGACAACACATGTCTATGGTTAGGAAACTTAACCATCTTTGATTAACGAGCTAGTCAAGTAGAGGCATGCTAGGGACACTCTGTTTGTCTATGTGTTTACACATGTATCAAGTTTCCATTCAATACAATTATAGCATGAATAATAAACATTTATCATGATATAAGGAAATATAAATAACAACTTTATTATTGTTGGAAATATGCCCTAGAGGCGATAATGAAATGGTTATTATTATATTTCCTTGTTCATGATAATTGTCTATTGTTCATGCTATAATTGTGTTATCCGGAAATCGTAATACATGTGTGAATACATAGACCACAACATGTCCCTAGTGAGCCTCTAGTTGACTAGCTCGTTGATCAACAGATAGTCATGGTTTCCTGACTATGGGCATTAGATGTCATTGATAACGGGATCACATCATTAGGAGAATGATGTGATGGACAAGACCCAATCTTAAGCATAGCACAAGATCGTGTAGTTCGTCTGCTAGAGCTTTTCTAATGTCAAGTATCTTTTCCTTAGACCATGAGATTGTGCAACTCCCGGATACTGTAGGAATACTTTGGGTGTGCCAAACGTCACAATATAACTGGGTGACTATAAAGGTGCACTATGGGTATCTCCGAAAGTGTCTGTTGGGTTGGAACGAATCGAGACTGGGATTTGTCACTCCGCATGACGGAGAGGTATCTCTGGGCCCACTCGGTAAGACATCATCGTAATGAGCTCAATGTGACTAAGGGTTGGCACGGGATGATGTGTTACGGAACGAGTAAAGCGACTTGCCGGTAACAAGATTGAACGAGGTATTGGGATACCCACGATCGAATCTCGGGCAAGTAACGTACCGATTGACAAAGGGAATTGTATACGGGACTGCTTGAATCCTCGACATCGTGGTTCATCCGATGAGATCATCGTGGAACATCTGAGAGTCAACATGGGTATCCACATCCTGCTGTTGGTTATTTGCCGGAGAGTTGTCTCGGTCATGTCTGCATGGTTCCCGAACCCGTAGGGTCTACACACTTAAGGTTCGATGACGCTAGGGTTATTAGGAAGACCTTATGTGATTACCGAATGTTGTTTGTTGTCCCGGATGAGATCCCGGACGTCACGAGGAGTTCCGGAATGGTCCGGAGGTGAAGATTTATATGTGGGAAGTTGTCATACGGTCACCGGAAAGGTTCGAGGGCATATCGATTTTGTACCGGGGCCATCGGAGGGGTTCTGGGGGTCCATCGGGAGTCCGGGAGGGGCCACCTCTCTCGGAGGGCCTTATGGGCTGTAAGGGGAAGGGAACCAGCCACAAGTGGGCTGGGGCGCCAACCCCCCAAGGGCCCATGCACCTAGGGTTGGGGGA